AGGACAGATAATGGTGTTGCATGTCTCCATATGAACTAGGCTTTAGCGGAGAAGATGTAAGGCGTGGCTTGCTGTCGACAGTAGTGTGAATAAAAGACTCGTGAACGAGTAACCCGAGAGCATCAGAGTTGTTACGTTTATACATTTCAGTGGGGAGCATCGACATATATACTGGACAATTTGTGTCCATAGGCTCCAATTATGAGTTTTTGTGCCAAAATGAGAGGTGGCCACCTCCGCCATTTTGACCGTGTCACAGGTACCGTCAAGCCCAGACAATTCCAAATAAGGGAAAAGAGGTGGAGCTGAGGGTGGGGCTGTAAGGCTGGGATCAAATGACCTGTCGAACAGAAGCGATGTAGCTACAAGCTAACCCAAAGATAACGCAGAGGTGGGAGCTAAGCTAACGGAGGTAGCTACCTAGCTACAACCGGAGTTAACTGTGCACAACACCAGAGCTTCTGAGTCAGAGATGCGCTGGGCTGACCGCTGGATAAAACCGGGTGGAACACAGAGGTCTCCCGAGAGCTCCACAAGCCGGCAGCCGCGCAGCAGACAGAAGCCGCTGCAATCTGAGACGTGCAGAGCTGCCGCTGAGGGGAGAGGACCATACCGATAGTCGGAACCCAGCTCCACAAACATGTTATATTTCAACCCATTTTCAAAAATGCAGCGTCATGTTAAATGTGCCTATTACATTTAAATTTCATGGTTAAACAGTACATGTTAAAATGTAAGCTCAGCTCGGCAGTGACCTAAAATACATAAATATAATTTTACTTACCGAAAAAAGAAGTGGAGACTCCTTGGATGCTCTATTAGTGCAATTAATGCCACAGCAAGTCATTTTGTCCAACAATTGCACAAATAATATCCAAAAAGAACGCACAAACGCTACAACTAATGGTCTAAGATGAGAGACTGAAAATGGCGGAACAGTTTTCAGGCGAGGCCGAGGCTCAGGCTGAGGCCTTTCCACCGAGCTAGCTCTGAGGTCACGTGGGTCTGATGCTCATTAATTATTCAGAATTTTAGGCTTTTAATACACTAAAACAGAAGAGTGAGAAAAAAATTCACCCCCCTCAGAGTTGTCATGAGTGTAAACTAGATCATTTAAACCAAAAACATGTTTTGGTACCAGGCTGTAAACATGTTTATTTCTGCTGTGAAATCGGTATTTTTAACATGGGAGTCAATGAGGATTTGCTCGCTTCTGACACCAGCCCCTAGTGGATGAGGGTGGAACTGCAATTTTTGTTACTTCCTGTTTGGCTTCATTTCCAGACCTGAATTATGGAGGCTTGGTGGGGAGACATGAAAACTCACCTCAATCCACCCAGTTTGTTCTGTTGTCTGCTGTGTTGACGCTTTTTAACGATTACCTCGCACGTTTACATGACTCTCAGGGTCAGCTGCAAAGTACGAGTGGCAGGCGATCAGCTGATCTGGCAGATCTTTCTTTCTTCTTTCTTTCTTTCGGTCTTTATTTTGGTTTATAGCATTAACATAAAATTTTCCTTTACAAACAAAACAACAATATTAACAACTTGAATTTAAACCAAAAAAGGAATAGGCAGAAGCAATGCTTATTTTAGCCTACCCTATTTTCCACCTAATATACATAACCAATATACATTTATTTTATTTTCCCCAATATAAATAACCACAATAGAAATTCATTAATGTCTATACATACTTTTCGTACCCTGTAAATATGTGACACTTTACACCTGCTTTAAACTTTAGTAAAGAAGTACATTTCTTCAAATCATCTTCTAACTCATTCCACAATTTCACACCAACAACGGAAACACATCTTGATTTCACATTAGTTCTGGCTTTTACACATTCAAACATAAATACACCTCTGAGATTATAATGATCAACTCTTGGTTTGAAATAAACTTTTATGCAATTTGGGATATTATTATTAACTACTTTATGAAGAATCTCTAAGATTTTTACTTTAATAATATCGCCTAATTTTAGCGTTTTAGTTTGACTAAATAGATTATGGGTTGGTTTGAGGTATCCCAATTTATTAACTATTCTAATCGCCTTTTTTTGTAATTTAAATACAGTCTCAACACACGTTTTACCTGCATTTCCCCAAATCTCTGCACAGTAAGACAAATAAGGCATAACTGAAGAGCTATAAATCAAAAACAAGGCTTTTTTATTTAGTACATCACTAGTTTTATAAAGTATAGCAATAGATTTAGACACTTGCCGTTTGATATATTCAATATGTGGTTTCCAACTGAGTTTACTATCAATAATCACACCTAGGAATTTAGTTTCATGTACTTGTTCAACTGGGACTCCATTTAAATGCAGCTTAGCACCGTCATTGTCCCTGTTCCCTGAAAATATCATAAATTTGGTTTTATTTTCATTTAGTGATAGCTTGTTGTAATCAAACCATTTTTTAATTGAACCCAATTCGTTTTCAACCTCTTGTAATAATTTACTCATATCTTTTCCCATACAAATGAAATTTGTATCATCTGCAAACATAATAAATTTTAACCGAGACGATACAGAAAAGATGTCGTTCAGGTATAGGTTGAATAATTTCGGTCCTAGCACCGAGCCTTGCGGTACACCACATATTACTCTTTCAAGCTGTGAATCTATATCATTAACATTTACATATTGAAATCTACTGCTTAAATAACTTGCAAGCCATTGATTGGTTTTACTACGAAGACCATAGTATTCACATTTGTTGAGCAGGTATGTGTGATCAATTGTATCAAATGCCTTACTCAAGTCAATTAAGACAGCCACTACATGAAGTTTTTGATCCACTGCTGTTGCAATCTGCTCTACCAAATCCATAACTGCTAATGAGGTTGAACGATTCTTCCTAAACCCATACTGATGGTCGTTTAAAAGCTCAAACTTGTTGGTGAATGCTTCAAATCTAATTACAAAAAGTTTCTCAAGTATCTTTGAAAACTGTGGCAGTAAAGAGATAGGTCTATAGTTACAAGCTAATCATTTATCTTCTTAGAGACATGGAGACAAATGTTCCACACGGAGTCTCCTTTTTCTGGACACGGCATCGTCATGATGTTAAAGAAAGGACATGAGCCAGACAGGAAGTAGGACGTGTTTTAGCTAGGTGCATTTGGTAAATTTCAAAATAAAAGCTGTGTCGCATTAGTTTACAGGCTTAAGTTTATTAATAATGATGCAGATCCCAGTGTCTGTCACTTCAGGGTTTTTACAGGTTTCTGTCATGTTTCTAATCATCTCTTAATCAGGCAGATATCTGGATACGTTCAGCACAAGAACCGCAGTCGGTGTGAACGACAGTTCATCCAGGAGCCGTGAGGAAACCGGGCCGTGTCCCCGAAGCGTGGTGTCCTGCGGCTACATTTACGCGCTTTTTTTTTTTTTACGCTTCCCAAATGTGTCAAGCTCGGCAGTTCAGACTGGACCAGACAGGAAGCCAAACTCTTCAGAACATCTGGAAACTTTCAAAATAAAAAGCATGTGCAGATTTCCAGTTTCATAAATAAATAAATAAACCTACATAGCCGAGGAATTAAACTACAAACCGTTTAGGCTCAGGCTTCCACCTTTCTCTGTGCGTGCTATCACGTGAACTGCTGAAATCACGTGTGATCTTACCGTTCTGTGATCTTAGGACCAGTCTGGACCAGCTGCACGGAACGTTTCTGGTGTCGTGTTGCATCTGAAGCGTGACGGACGGTACGGATTGCTCCTCTGAGCTCTCACGTTAAACATCCGGCATGGCAAAGCCTCGGGTGTTTAAACTTCACTGGGGCGATTCAGTATGAACAAAGTAATGTCGACTAACGTAATCTTGGTTTAATCTGGACTAAAAGTATAAAAAACAGACAGAATCCTGCTGATCTCTGAGGCTCCTGATCCATGAACTACAGACTTTCATTTAAAAGAGTCGGGGATGTGGAGAACTCCCAAAAACTCCTAAAAGATTGGAATGAGTCAGCATTCTGGCCCCTTAAAGGAATTCTGACCTTTTGAGGAGAAAGATGTCTTCGTGTGGCGGTCCTGGTGTCGGACCAGCATCAGGACCGGTCCGGACTAGATGTCAGTCGGAAACAAGAGCATGAACCTGCCGCAGGTGGAACCCTTAGAACCTGGTAACTTATTCCTCAGTGCAGGAACATCTGGATGCAGCTCACCTGTCTGCCAGCAGCACACCTGGAGGTTCTTTCCTCCCCCAGAGCCGACCCGGAGCGACCCAGAACAACCTGTAAGCCGCTGTAAAACAATCCAGAACATAATATTCCCATTTGTCGGAGCTTCCCAGAACAAAGGTCACGTGGGTTAAGCTCTGCTCGGCTCCGCGCCTCATTACACCCGACGTGATGGGGAATATGTTCTGGAGATAAGCCACACCTGTCTGCCTCCACCTGGGCCCTGGAGGCTGAGGGCGGAGGAGGAACGCCCAGCAGGAGGAGGAGTCAATCATTAACCCGGAGCCTCTTATCTCTGAGAGGAGAAGAGCACCGGCAAACATCTGGAGCAATCACGGCCGCTCTTTCTCTCTCATTTAACAGCAAATCACCTGGAGACTGTTAGTCAGGATCCTGTGAGGAGGGGGGCCGCAGCCCCCCCAACCCCCCCACCCCATCACTGAAGGACGCAGAAGTTCACCCTTTACAGATGTTCCATCTGCGCGTTCTGGAACCAAACTGAATAAATAAATAAATAAATAAATAAATAAATAAACCACAGAGCTGCTTCCAGATCGCAGTTCAATCATGCCCACATGCGCGTGCGTTTCATTCAAGCAGCGCACGCGCGCAACACCTCCAATCGTGCTCGTGCGCTCTTTTCTTGCCAAATTCTTGCGAAGTGCGCGTGCTCGAAATTAAACACGTGCGTGTTTGTAGCGCCTCATCTGAGCGCGTGTCCGCGTGAGAAGGACACTCAGTCAGTCCTGTGGTGTGCGCGTGCGTGTGTGTTTGTCTGATGTGTGAGCGCGTGCGTGGCTCACTGACCTCTCTCCGGGCTCAGCGCGGAGCTCCGGTTCCGGACCCAGATCCCGGTTCGGAGCGCTCCGGTTCCGCCCGGACTGGACCCGTCCCGCGGCTCTCCGCTGCCATCCACGGCAGCAGCTGCTTTAGATCCAGGTCCGTCCGAACCGAACCTCCTCTCGGTCCGGCTCGTTAACACGCGAACTTCTCTCCTCGGTTCTGTGGCATCCCTCCACGGTCCAACTCTGACCGAGACCGGGACCGTCAGACCAACTGGTCCAGGTGGGGCTGCAGGTAGGTTCAAGTTCGGGGTTTAACCCGTCTCCTCCTCCGGTACCGGAGGTCCGTCCGCACGCTCTGCTGTCCAACGCGAGTGAAGCGCTTTTACGCACGGAACCGAGCGCTGGGTCTGGTAGGGTCCGGTAGGAGGGGTTCTGATGAGAGGAGAGGGAGGAGAGACTGGTTCTGGATCAGGAGGAGGAGCAGAACTTTTTCATGTCTCTAAGTTCTGCAGAAGCTTTGTGCTCTTCTGGGTTCTGAGGCTTCCCTCCTGACATCCAGATGGGCTCGGTCCAGCTCCTGGTCTAGGTTCATGTGGTCCGGCGGGGGTCCTGACCTGGACCAGATCCCTCCAAACTCAAACCAGAGGTCTCGTCATCATCTAGAACCTCCTGGACCTCCTTCCCTAGAGCATCACCGAGCTTCCACCCTTCAGTCTGACACAGATGATGGAGGGTTCTGGTGTCCTCCTGCACCAGAATGTCTGGTATCTGCAGAGCTCAGCTCAGGAGTCGTGTGTTCTGGGTAGAGCAGGTACCTGCAGGTGGGTCACTGGGGAGGCAGAGAGCGAGGAACATCTCCACAGGTAGACAACACTCCACCAGAGCTTCTCATGGCTCCACCCATCTGACCTCCGGCGCAAACCGGAGTTGTCCTGCAGCTGGGGAGAACGTTCCAAGATTATCTTCTCAGGCTCATTTCACCTTCAGGATAACGACCATGAGGCTGCTGAAGCTCCTCCCACTGCAGAAACTCCACCTCTGCCAGAAGCCCCGCCCCCTTTCTCTCAGCGTTCCTTCCTTTAATTCTAGAGTTCAGAAGCTGAGTCAGATTATGTGAAGCTTTGAAGTTCCTCTGCCTCTGTGAGGGAGCAGACACAGCCTCGACCAGCTAATTAGGGTCACACACACACACACACACACACACCTCCTAGAAAACATCACAGAGACTAAAGTTATTTATTTACATACCCCCCCCCCCCACTGTGACATCACTGTGGCTACACTGTGACATCACTGCCAGTGTGTGAATGGGTGAATGAATGCTGTGTTGTAAGGTGCCTTGGGGGGCTGTTGGCCATCTGACCACAGAATAAATATTTACAGAGAACTAAGAGCAGCAGAAATGTTAAAGCTGCTGCCGGTGAGCCACCATGGTCACCACGGTAACCAGCATTAACAGCACAGGCTTTGGTGTTGTTTACTTTTTTATGAGTGAAATTCGACAAAATTAAATGAACTTTTCAAGTTCTGTTAAACTCGGGACATGAAAGGAAGACGAGAACACGATCATGGTTAGAATCACGCGGAACCGACAGCCGCGGGGATCAGGAACCAGAACCGGAGCTTCTTTCCATCTGCTGATCAGAGGCAACGTGACACGTGGAGAGCAGCAAAGCTGAGATGTGTGAGGAATGCTGACGGTCCACCAGCCGCCGCCGCCGCCGCCGCCGTCGTCACTGTGTTTGTCACTGTGGTTCTGATCCATCGCCCCGCTCTGATTCTGAGCCGTGATGAGGATGCTGCTCTCTGACGGAGTGAGTTTGGTGGAGCAGAAACGTGTGTGTGTGTGTGTGTGTGTGTGTGTGTGTGTGAGACTCAGTGAGGCTTACACACCAGAGTTAGAGCCCAGCAGGACTCTTGATGCATCACAAATGTCGTCAGACTCAGACTAAAACCTAAATAAGAGACAAAAACTAGTTTCTGCTTCACTGTTTCTACATCTTCCTGTCTGGGCGTCTCCATGGCAACCCAAGCTGAATTACAGGACATTTCAGAGAGTTTTATTGGGAAGGGCCAACAGTTAATGTGCTTTTGTTGTTTCGGACCTCAGCACATCGTCTCCCTGGACCTTCAGCTGATCACCAGCCGGTCTCTGATGGTTCTGGTTCTGCTGGACCTCCTCAGAGCCCTGAAGACGTGCTAGCATGCCTTCTCTAAAGCCAGTCAGAGCGATGCAAGTTAGAAAGAAACCAACTTTGCCTAAGACGCCTACGTCACCATGTTGGTATTTCATGAACCGTGATGATGTCACACTGGACGGTTACCTGCCCAGGTGCTGCAGGGCACCTGTCCTATCAGCGAGTCATAAAGAGCGGCTGGTCCAGCTCATTAGGAGGTGCATCACTGCTGAACACGCATCCTGCCTCCCTCCCTCACAGCAAAGCAGCTTTCCTCCAGACGCCCTCGTCCTCTGGAGGTCTCCGCTCTAGCGCGTTAGCAGATGACGTAGCAGCGTCCGGCTCACACGGAGCAAACGCGCCGACCCAAAGCACCACTTTCTACAGAGAAGTCTGCAGAATGAACCGTGTTGAAGGTTTTTAATTCAACTCTTACTTTTCTCTCTCTTCTACGTCCTCCATGTTCTTGTTCATCTACAGTTTCTGAATAAATGACCACGAATAACTCAACCTGCTCCAAATACACACTCCTGTTAGCGCTGATGAGTTAGCATCAAGCTACATCCAACATTATTGACATTACCCCAGCTTTCCACCAGACTCATAAACATCCCATAATGCTTACAAAGTTATTTTAATGTGTGCGTTTCCAGGGGTTACGGAGCGTTTTGGACGCTAGCTCATGCCGCGAGTCTGCTTTTACACGTTATGCTTCCAGACAGCATCGAGCTCAGCAGCTCAGACAGGAAGTCAAACAATCACAGTGTCAAACATCTGGAAACTTTCAAAATAAAAGACAAGTGCAGATTTCCAGCTGCTAGCTAGTAAAAACTGCGTGATTTCCTGTGAATTCACCTCATGGACCAGGAAATGACCCACGGAGCTTTCTAGATATGCGCTGCCGTCTTTCTCCTGGCTTCTTTGTACGTGAACGTGACCCTGCAGTACCTGATGATTTCTGGGCCTAGTTCAGCTACGTGGAAAATTTTTGTGTTACTTCGCGTCTGAAACGCATCCTATAACGCTACGCGTGGCTCACGCATCCGATGGAAACCAGGGTTAGCCTAAACGCAGCCAGGCTATGTTTAACCCGGCTCAGTTTGACAGATCTAGTTAGATGCTACGCTAACATGCTAGTAGCATTAAAGCTACTCACGGCCCTCATATGGAGATTAAACGTGCTAACCACATCTGTGTGACAGCAGAGGAGGCAGAACCAGGAAGTTGGTTTGGTCCACCTGACAGGTCGTCTGAGCAGCCCGAGCACGTTCAGCTGCTGGGAGATGGATTCATGCTGTCAGGACCACCAGCCGAGTGTGAATGTCACACTTAAAACTTCATCTAGCCACGCACACACACACACACACCACCAGACTGAGCTCTCCTCCTCTGAAGCTCCATGTTCAAGTCAGACTCTCAGGTTTCTACAGATCGCTGCATCACAGGAGGCCTGCAGAGAGTCTTTGGGGTATTTTTGTTTGAGCTGCAGCCTGTTTGGGATTCTCCGTCAGCATTTATAGTTTGGCTGTAATGAAGCTGCCAGTCAGAGTCTGGGATTAAATCCAGAGAAGAGGCGCTGCAGACCATGATGAAGGCTGCAGGAGGAAGAGGAGAGAGTCTTTTCTTTTAACTCGGTGGAGAGCTTCACGTGCAGGCGGAGCAGAGCTGCTGATCGTCATCCAAGCCGCTCTTCTGGCAGAAATCCTTTGTAGCTTTGTAACTTTTTAATGTCTGCTTCTGTCAGAAAGAAGCTTTGGTGTGAACTACCAACTCCATGTGAGTCGATTCTTCCTGATTCAGCTGAAAATAAAAGTCCGTCTGAACCGTCACGGCTGAATTTATCTTGTTCTTGTTATTGTAGTCTAGTGTTCTGGGTGTTTTTACCATCGACATACATATATGGACAATGGGTTTCCATAGGCTCCAATAACACGTTTTTGTGCTAAAATGGGAGGTGGCCACCACCGCCATTTTGACCGTGTCACAGGTTCCGTCAAGCCCAGACAATTCCATAAAAGGGAAGAGAGGAGGAGCTGAGGGTGGGGCTGTAAGGCTGGGATCAACTGACGACACCCGGTCGAACTAGCTACAAGCTAACCTGAAGCTAACCCAAAGCTAACGCAGAGGTGGGAGCTAAGCTAACGGAGGTAGCAACCTAGCTACAACCGGAGTTAACTGTGCACAACACCAGAGCTTCTGAGTCAGAGGTACGCCGGGCTGACCGCTGGGTAAAACCGGGTGGAACACAGAGGTCTCCAGAGCTCCACAAGCCGGCAGCCGCGCAGCAGACAAGCGCCGCTGCGATCTGAGATGCGCAGAGCTGCCGCTGGGGAGAACCGGGTGGAAAGGTTTCCATCCCAGAGCTCCACAAGCCGGCAGCCGGCGCAGCAGACAGAAGCCGCGATCAGACAGAGATGCGCCGAGCTGCGGGGAGGGGAGAAAAAAATGAAGTGGAGACTCATTGGATGCTCTATTAGTGCAATTAATGCCACAGCAAGTCATTTTGTCCAACAATTGCACAACTAATATCCAAACAGAATACACACACACAGAGACTCAAAATCCCGGAACAGTTTCCAAGCCAGACCGAGGCTCTACTGAGGCCTTTCCCCGGAGCTAGCTCTGTGGTCACGTGGGTCTGATGCTCATTAATTATACAGAATTTTAGGCTTTTAATACACTTAAACAGAAGAGTGAGAAAAACATTCACCCTCCTCAGAGTTGTCATGAGTGTAAACTAGATCATTTAAACCAAAAACATGTTTTGGTACCAGGCTGTAAACATGTTTATTTCTGCTGTGAAATTGGTATTTTTAACATGGGAGTCAATGAGGATTTGCTCACTTCTGACACCAGCCCCTAGTGGATGAGGGTGGAACTGCAATTTATTTCATTTCCGCATTGGTCTCAATTTCTGTCCCGCATTGTGGGGGCTTGGTTTTTACACACTCAACCATAAATACTGAAGCACGTGTTTGATAGGAAAAAACTGTTAAAAGTTCCTTTAACCCTTCAAAATAAGAGTCACACACCTGAAGCTTACTAGAACATTTTTAACCCCCTTCTCTGGGTTTGATCAGAAATCGTGCTTTCAGCCTCAGCTGGTGCTCGCGTAGACGCCTCCTGTCCGAGGCTCCACCGGTGGGTGTAGTGTGGCCATGCTGGACCCAGACAGCCTCACCGGTGAACAGCAAACGCTGACGAGTGCTCACCCTTTAGAACATCTACATGAACCGTGCAGCCGTTTAAAATGCACCTCAGTGTTTACTCTGCATGAAAAAGGTCAATCACTAAATGCTACCTTCACAAACGCAGGTGGAGGATGTTGGCATGGCAACCGTGGACTTGTCCCCTGCTGTACCAGCTGCTGGTAATCGATGTCTTTAAATATAGAAAAACAAACATGTTACTAAAGTAAATTCTGCTGTTTAAATGTTACGGAGACGAAACTCTGATTTCTGTTGGTTTTTCTGAGTTTTCCGTCTAAACTAAAACTCAGAGAAGATAAATCCCAGAGCCTGAGGACGTCCTGGTGGTTCGGTTTAATCTGTTAAATCAGGTTGCTCAGATTAAATAATCTGAAGATTGTGTTAGGTTTAGTTCCTCGAACTGAGGATGCTCATGTTTCCTGTAACAGACAGATTAAAACGATGTAACTACAGCTTGCTGGCCCAGACCCCTCCTCTTCGCTGTCGTTTAGCTCAGAGCTGCAAAGCCTGCTGGGAAATCTTCAGCTGAGCTGAAGAGCCGGCTGTCCTGAGACGATGTCCGCTCACATCAGCTCTGTTTCCCAGCGGCGG